GTTGCGGTATGTGACTAAGCAGGGGGACATCGCTTCTGAGGAAAATAGACAAGATGGCTTACATTGTCAAACAAGCGATCATTAATTGCACCCTTATTCACCGGAACTGGCCTAGTACCGCTGCGTTTCAGGGGACTCATACTGGCACCGACACACTTGAAGTACCTCCTGGCTATGAACAATGACAGATATGTCAAAGCGGCTGCGTGCGATTCAGTGTTGCTGTTGGACTCCGGCAAGGCATCCTTGGCCATGGATCTCCGTCATGTGATTGACAAGCTGCCATTCAGAATTGTGCTGCCGAAACTTGCAACCATTACGCCAAGCGTGGTTGACGGGGTAATCAAGTCCGTAACCGCCGGTCTTCGAGCGTACCTCCAATGGTCCATTGATAGTCCTGACTCACCAAAATTGTATCTTCCGCGAGGAAGACTAGAACCGGAGAAAAACAGTGCGCCAGGCCACAAGACGTTGTAATTCCGATACTACTCAAATGCAGTAAACCCAAAGCACCGGAAAGCACTTACGCAACTATTACTATCATGATCGAGCCACTGTTTAGCCCCGGAAGGAATGCGTTGGGTTGAATTTCGTCGCGCGCGGATCGATCGCAAACACTGCGTTCCGGCCCTGGATAGACCGACCCTGCCGACGTCACACCTCGGCAGGTCGGTCCGGAACGCAGTGAAAGGGTCTGCAGACTCTGTAAAGCCGAGATCGAATCACCGGAGCATGCTTTATTAGAGTGTACGGCAGAGTCGGAACTCGTTCAGCTCCGCCAGGACTTCTTCATTCGAATGAGGAGTGACTTACCTGGTTTGCCGCTGGAGAACTCGATGCCGACTGCGAGATTCTTTACTCACATGATAGCCTACAGAGAGACTATTTCATTGGTCGCAAAATTCGCATACGAAGTCACTCAATTTTTGGAGGCTACTCCCATTTACGTTCTCTCTATTCCTTTACACTGGTTGACACTACTGCGACGCAAGGATTAGATTCTTTTTTACCACTTTCATTCTACTTTAGATAGACATTCGGATAATGTTCGGATAGCTCGTCAAGTAGGGTTGTTGGGGTCCAGGGCAAAGGCGCAAAGGGCTTGTGTGTGCTGGGATACCTCTGGGAACACAGTGTTCAGAGACTGGACCATGCTGTGTATGAATATACCACTCTCACTACCACTGGTGGAGCAGGGTATCTGTCATAGCTTGGCCAGCAGTTGATCTCGTGCAGCGTAGCGTTTCCCACAATCTTGGTTTGCTTTGGGTCTTGAGGATTGCGTTGTCCTCCTAGAGCAGTTCGGTTCTCTCCACCGGGGTTAGGGATACGGTCAGCGTCCATCCGGACATTACTGCATTACCCATCTCCGAGCGATCGGCAAGGAAAGGTGATGGTCTTCAAGTTTGAGCACTAAAGCAGGAACAAGGAACAGAGAAGCTGACTCATGGCAGCCATGAGACAAAGTCCATGCGATGAGAAAGGACTTATGATACACTGTCAGGCTTAATTGTATACTTTGTGGATAGTGCGAAGCAAGTTTAGGTGCTGAAAAATAGGGCTTCAACCCGTCCATCTGACGGGACGGCCGTCACAAAAACGGCCGTTTTCGCGCAACGGACGGGGCTACCTATCCGTCAAGGGTTCGATTGGGAGCACCCAACTGACGGGTCCCGGCCGTCATGGCCGTCTGACGGGTTGCTCAGATATTACGTCCAGTAAGCATGGTAATGATACTTCATGGTATGTTATATTTGCATTTCGACCTTTCTGTCGAGTTTAATGGGCCGCAGAGCTCTTAGAGAAGTGTTCAAGTGCGAGAGTTGGGGGCCGAGGATTGGCGGCCCGAGATCACCGAAGTTCAAACTCCGCTGGTTTCTAATTCTGGTATCGGAGTATCAAGCCCGTGATGAGGCAATAGGTACTGTGCCTTGCGCTATCCCCTTCATTTCCCTTGTTCTGTGCCATTTTGTTCCCGTCACCGACGGGGACGAGTCGAAGCCCTAGTGAAAAAAGCCTTGGTCAAACTTGTTGAGCGGCCGCCGGGATGCCCGGGGGAATAGGGATAGGGTAGCCGCAGGCAAGAAAGAAAATGGAAGAGAAGTACTGTACCCGAAAATGGCGGAGATAGTAATCATTCGAAGAACTGTCAAAAATTATCAGATGGTCTAAGAAGCGCTGTGGCAACATAAGTAGTTTCCGATTGATGCGATTCTACACATGAGGACGAGGTGCTTTCAGGCGTGGTCGCAGAATTCTCACTTCGAATCCCTCAGTTCCGCACTCACAATATTCTGTAAGTGTTTTTCATTCAATTGAGTAGATTGTATTTACAGCCCCATACCTAGTTTGCGGGCGCATCCTACGAGTCCCGCGACGTGCGCGAGCAAGGTGCAAAAGCCCTATCTGTGCCGAGGTGAATACCGGATTCAACGCCCGCGAGCGCGGCCAGGGCGGAATTCGCCGTGCGCGCGTCCGCGGGGACTTGCCCGCGATCGCAAAAGATGTAACGAGGAGACGGAGGTTCGATTCCTCCCGGGGGCATGTCCACCAACTTAACCTCTTTTTCTTTTTACACCCAGCTCTGTATTTTATTCGGCACTTAGAAGTGCTCGAATCATACCTTGAACGCTCCCGTGGACCGTGGCGGTCCCCTCTGCTTCATATCAGAATGGCTCGATCATGATGGTAATAGTTGCGTAAGTGCTTTCCGGTGCTTTGGGTTTACTGCATTTGAGTAGTATCGGAATTACAACGTCTTGTGGCCTGGCGCACTGTTTTTCTCCGGTTCTAGTCTTCCTCGCGGAAGATACAATTTTGGTGAGTCAGGACTATCAATGGACCATTGGAGGTACGCTCGAAGACCGGCGGTTACGGACTTGATTACCCCGTCAACCACGCTTGGCGTAATGGTTGCAAGTTTCGGCAGCACAATTCTGAATGGCAGCTTGTCAATCACATGACGGAGATCCATGGCCAAGGATGCCTTGCCGGAGTCCAACAGCAACACTGAATCGCACGCAGCCGCTTTGACATATCTGTCATTGTTCATAGCCAGGAGGTACTTCAAGTGTGTCGGTGCCAGTATGAGTCCCCTGAAACGCAGCGGTACTAGGCCAGTTCCGGTGAATAAGGGTGCAATTAATGATCGCTTGTTTGACAATGTAAGCCATCTTGTCTATTTTCCTCAGAAGCGATGTCCCCCTGCTTAGTCACATACCGCAACCAACGGCCCCTGAAAGCTTTAAATAAGGTCACCATGCTGGGCTAGAATGGTGAAAGCACATCATGGCCAAGTTCTTTGGGTCTCTCCTCGCTTCTCTCGCTACAACTGCAGTTGTCGGCGCCGCTTTGACCACAGGGCACTACCAAATCCACGATTTTCAAGGTAGATGCCTTAGTTACGTCGCCACCTCGATGAACGAATATGTTCCTGTTGTCACTACTCCTTGCGTTAATGGGACCCAGACTCAAATCGTAAGCACAGCACCCCTCTGTTATTGTTGATTTGCCCTAATGCTTTGAAGTGGAATGTCGTAGCGGATAGTCCATTCGCCCCTACATATATTATCCTCACTACTTCCGGTGCATCCTCGACGATCACCTACGCATCATCAACTGCAAACGGAGCAGAAATTAACGCCCAACATCAGCAATTGCAGCTGAATAGCGAATCTCCAGTTGAAGAAGATCTCATCATTGGTCAAATTGACACTACGCATTGGACGTAAGTGTGCAGGATGCATTACTTCTTCCGATTTACTAATATTGTTGGCAGTCTTGGTGATACCAGAGGCGGTGGACGTTGGACATCATGGACAGCTAGGCCGAACGCTCAGCTTGCTGCTCCGGTAGGTTTTACCACAGAGGAGTTCCTGCATCTGACTGACATGTATATTATTTAGATGACGTTGGAGGATGTAGGAGGCTCCAGTGGACCTGATGCACAACAACTATTCACGTTTGTTGGACCCTTGTGATGATCAAACATAGATCTATCGATGATCTCCTTTTGTAATGTGCAGTGCCCTAGCAATATTGATGAAAGTATGGTGCTCTAGCTAAGAATGGTCTTAATAGGTGATATCATCACCTGGAATGAGAGGAGACATTGTTCCTACTTATGTTCAATTTTTCGCGTTCAGTGTGTTTTCGTTGTCCCGGCTCACTCTGAGCTAACATACAGTTTCTTGTCCTCCCCACCCATCAACACGACGTTGACATTGACTTGCGAGGAGGATAAGCTGGGATCAAGCAAAAGCTGAGTTCAACAACTTTCTGCTCCGGTTCTATGCCTCATACACGCGTCGGCGATGTCGCAAACATTCCCATCATCCCACCCATGTGCCGCGCGCAAAGGCCGAAAGAGCCGTGTAGCGTGAAAATGTGCCTTTTTTGGAAGGTGCTGTAGCATGGGAACGGCGGGGCATGAGATCAAGATTTTTTGTAGGGGGAAGAGAATCCAAAATAAGCAAGAAATTCTCTAGGTTTCGTAATGGCAATGTAGCGCGGGTAGCAATGACGGACTAATTCTTGGGCGAAATAACGCTAGGGAAATTGGCGGGGAAATTGATCCATCGCGCTTTGAGTTGTAATTTAGTTGTAAGTTAAGCACCAATACAAAGGGGCAAAAATTGTGCTGTCAAAGACGCCATGCCCCCGGGAGGAATCGAACCCCCTTCTCCTCGTTGCACATCTCTGAATCCAATGCACGGGTTTGAGGGGATCACCATGATCCACGGGGGCTTCAAAGCTACGGTTCATAGTGTTGTAAGTGCACCTCTATCAAGGTTCTGACCGATGAATGCCCCCGGGAGGAATCAAACCTCCGTCTCCTCGTTAGAATTCTTATACAAGCGCACGGGTTCGAGGGGATCGCCATGATTCACGGGGACTTTCCAGCGAGGGTTAACGGCGTGGGATGTACGGATAGTTGTTAGTGAAGCACTAATAGAAAAAAATGCAACAAGGGACAAAACGTTGATCATGCTAGTGCCCTATGCCCCCGGGAGGAATCGAACCCCCGTCTCCTCCTTCATAACTTAGTCTTATGTAACCACTACAGGAAGCAAACGGGACCGCCACGGTCCACGGGGGCGTTCAAGGTATGATTCGAGCACCTCTAAGTGCCGAATAAAATACAGCGCTGGGTGCAAAAAAGAAAAGAAACGACGCACAGACCGCATGGCCCCGGGAGGAATCGAACCTCCATCTCCTCCTTCACGTTTACTCTAAGGTTCCCCTATAAAGCGGAAGCGACCGCCACGTACCACGAGGGCTTGAAATATACCTTTCGCGCTCTTGGAAGTGTAGATTAAAATAAGAATGGATGCAGAAAGAGAAAGGATGTATGACCTATAAATGCCCCCGGGAGGAATCGAACCTCCTCTCCTCATTGTACTACTCCAAGGAACCTTGTTTAAAATTATTCAGTTGAGGCGATCACCATGATCCACGGGGGCTTGCAAGATACATTTCGTGCCCTTGGAAGTACGAATAGCCGTCAGTGGTGGACTAGAAAAAAAAGAAAAAAAAAAACCACCACGAACGCTCTATGGCCACGGGAGGAATCGAACCTCCTCTCCTCCTTCACGCTTACAAGCTCCATATGAAGCGGAGGCGATCGCCATGATCCACAGGGGCTCGAAATATACCCTTCGCAGCCTTGTAAGTGCAATAAAATGACAATGGATGCAGAGAAAAACATATGGACATATGAAACCAATGCCCCTGGGAGGAGTCGGACCTCCATCTCTTACCTTCCTGGTCGACAATATAAGCGGAGACGACCGCCACGGTCCACAGAGGCTTGCGAGATATCGTTCGCGCCCTTGGAAGTGCGGTGAAAATTTTGAATTTTGAATGCCAGGTACGCAGAGGACCAAGATATACTTGCTATACTTGCCATATCTCCTCTCAAAAATCGACGGATCGGTAGCGCTGTTCCTTTTCGGCGCAATTGACAATAGCGGTGATATTTATGCAGCCATCTAGGGATACAGTCAAATTGCAGTCAAAGTTTGCGGAGGCCGCACAGCCACACCAACCACCCCCACCAAACACACGCAAATCCGTTCCTCGTCTTTCACATCTTTCTGTACGCGTCTCTGTCTATGGCGTCCCCCTTTGCGCGCCCAGCAGCAACTCCCGGCGCCCCGACGCCGATCCGCGTGATCACGACGCCCCTGCGTAGCAGCGCCGCGCCGCAGCGCAGCTGGCTGCTGTACGAGCCGCTCGCGAAGGCCGTCCTGCGCAGGCGCCTCACCGCGCGCATCTTCCCCGCCACTGGCCTTCTCTGCGTCTTCGCTACGGGAGTGTGGTTGATGTGGATTGGGCGGGTGAGTGGTATTGGGATTGGGCCTGAGCGGGGTGGGTGTGCTAGGCGTGGCGGCGGGGATGTGGCTCGGTGCCGTGCTGCCTGTGTTGCCTGTGCGGAAGGAGTTCCTCACCGGTGTGTCCGCCCTTTCCTTCCCTTTCTACCTTCTCCTTCTTTTCACTAAAGACTGATTGGGGGACAGTAACGCGCACATCCGCGCCCTCGCCCCTCCTCCTCCAAAAATCGCTCGTGCCAAACACACCGCTACGCGCGCGCACCCTCCGTCCCGTGAAAGCGTACCTGCTCTCCGCACTATCTATCCTCGCGCTCCACGCGGCGCTCGACCCCGCGCTGCCCGTGTTCATCCGATCCCGGTGCGCCCTTCCGCCCTTCCCCGGGCCCCTTCCATCTACTCCCCCTCGATGGAGACGTGTAGACGCTGACGCAGCGGCAGGAAGCACCCCTGGACGTCACACCCCGCGCTCGTGCTCCTCGCGCTGAGCCAGGCCGCGCTCGCGGCGCTGTACGTCCTGTAAGTACCTCAATAGTTATCCTTTGAAATGCAAAACACTGCGCGCGCAGATGTAGCCCGTCGAGTGCGCCCTGAATCTGCGGGCAAGTCCGCCGCGGACGGGTGGAAATTCGGATGTTGCGCTGGGACGGTGTAAGCTAAGTACACGTCCGCACTACTTGAAATTTAATGACTCACCTGGATTTGCGCACGCAGAGTTCGCTGAGAGCCCCTCTGCATCGAATGCGCGCAGCATGCACACGCGGCTCGCGTCTAATGCACGCCAAGTCCCCGGCAGCGGAGCTGTTCGCAAATCTGCGGACAAGTCCCCGCGGGACGCGCTGGCCGCGCTCGCGAGCGTCGAATCCGGTATTAACCTCGGCTCAGATAGGGCTCTTGCACCGTGCGCGCGCGCACGTCGCGGGACTCGAAGGAGATGTGAGCCGCAAACTAGGTACGGAGCTGTAAATACATTCTACTCAATTGAATGAAAAACACTCACCGAATATTGTGAGTGCGGAACTGAGGGATTCGAAGTGAGAATTCTGTGAGTCGTCAGTAGATGAAGAAGGAAATCAGTAGAACTCGAGCCTCACCATTCATATGCATTTTTGGGGTTCAGTGGGGTTGCAAAAGTCGGAGATGAGCAACGTACTGAGACGGACACATTAAGCCACACCTCAAACGCAACGTGCAAGGCTCGACTGATAACAAGTGAGCAAGGTTTTCGCAGCCAGACTTGAATCGGTGCTCACCTGAGTCTAATAACTTCGAGACGCTGCCTGGATAATTCAAAGTCAGTCAGATCTCAGAGCGAAGTGAAAATTTACCTCGTTCCAAGTCTTACAAACAGGTCTGGAGTCACGAAGCACGCTAATGAATGCAGCTTTACTGTGCTTGGAAATAAGTAGGAAAATCTCGAATCAAGAAGTTGACCTGCCCCGATCCTCGGAGAAGCCTGCCGCAAATTAAATGCACTGAGAGCCCGTGATTCGGACCGAGACATGTTGAATTTATTTGAAAGGTCCCCAAGCTGAAATCCAAGTTAAAACGTGAACAAGGGCCACAACAGGGTGAAATTGGAGGGCTACCTTGGACAGGCTCAAAGTCGGTTAATTGGGATGATTTGAAGTGAGCTGATTCAAGCGGACTATTAGAGCCTCGAGGTCATTAAGGGATAATGCAAATCGGTGATGTACTAACTAACCTGCTTTAAGGGTGAGTTCTAATACCCTCAAGGTTCATTCAGTTCAACTCCAACCGGAACGTAGAACTGCAGTCAAAATGAATAAGAGCATAAATTGAAGGGTAGCTCACCTCGGATAGCGTGTAGACTGAAATGAGAATGGATGCAGAGAGGGAAAATATTCCTACTGGACCACGAATGCCCCCAGGAGGAATCGAACCTCCGTCTCCTCGTTAAACCTCTTTTCACAACCACCCACGGGTTTGAGGCGATCATCATGATCTACGGGGGCTTGCGAGGTACGGTCAATGGTCTGGGATGTACGGATAGTTGTCAGCGGAGCACCGATGAAAATGCCAAAGAAAACCTTGCTGTCATCGCCTTATGCCCCCGGGAGGAATCGAAGCCCCTCACCCCCTCGTTCAAGCTCTTTTTCAACTACATCGAATGAAGCAGATGAAACTCAGCTAGGTGAGCTTAAGTTCTAGTTGCTTCCCATCCCCCTGGAACTTATGAGTTCCGAGGGACTTAAGTTCATGTATTGTAGCGTACCACTATATAATACACCTGTAAACGTGCCCCTCCCTGTTCGCCCGAACTTAAGTTCCGCGGACTTATGACCCGTGCTCCTACTGAAGTCCTGTCCCGCGACTCAAGTCTCATGCGCAACTAAAGTCCCATATATATCTTAAGTCCTGAATAGTAATACACTTGAGTCCCGTACATCTGAAGTTCCACGAGAGGACTTAAGTCTGCGGCGCCAGAACTTCAGTTCATCCCAGTCTGTCCCGATAAGGAAATACGATTTCCTATTTCGGACGCCTGCGCTAGAAATCCTTATACGCCCGATGTATGTCCTAGCTCGTCGTGAGCAGTAGCCAGGGGGGGAGACTGTGGCACGTACCATCTTGTCCATCCAGGTGAAGACCTTGTCGCGCCAGCTGTCCACCTTCGTCACCAGTTCGTCGAAGCTGGCCGCTTTGACCCAATCGTGGTGTGCGCCGGATTCGGGGCTCTTGAAAATCTCCTCCGCGTTATGCTGCAGACGCCGATACATCGCGGCCTGCATCCGGGCGAAACACACCGCGCCGTTCTCCTGCTCGCCATCTGCACGCCCCGTCCAGACAACGCTATCGCGGCGGAACCTCGCGATGACCCGGAAGAGTTCCGCGTGCTTGCGCTCATAGGCCTCCAACCAGCGGTACATCTCCGCCTCGGCGCGGAACCACTGCACGCGATCACCTAGGTACCGTGTCAATAGCAGGCACCGCGTCTGTCGTCAATGCACTCACTTTCAGCCTTGTACTCTGCCAATCTACCCTCGCCCGCTCGTTGTCCCCTCGTCACAGTCTCGAGCCATATCCAGCCCTCTCCCTTCTTCGGCTTCGTGTTCTTGCGCTTGCCCTGGCCCTTCCGCTGTCGCAGTGTTCCCTGCTTCGCAGGCAGTTCCGAGTCGCTGTCTTCGGCCTCAGACGACGATGACGATGGCACATCTACGCCTGCGTCGGCTGGAACGATGTCCTTCAGATGTTTTGGCGCCCGTGGAGAGTGTATCGCTGGGCCTGCACATATGTCAGCATTAGGGCGCGACTCAGACACGCATGCTGCTTACCAGCACGCTTTAGCGCCTGAGTGCCCGCTACCAACTGCGGCCCTCGCTCGTTCTCATCCCGCCTCTTGACTGGCGAGAGCGGCGAAGGGGCACTGTCGGTGTGGAGCGTCCCACCTGCCTGCAGGTACCACGCTGTCCCATTGAATAATCGGGAGTCGCCCGTGATGCGATGCAGGTGCGTTTCCTTCCTCCTCGTATCCCGGGCGGTCAGCGGCGGGTAGGGCTCGGTAGCGTCGTCGGGCATGTGGCCGAGATGAATGAGACACGCGCGCGCCTTGTTGTACATCGCGATCTCGAATTCCTTCATCATTACCGCCTTCTGCACGTTGCGCTGCAAGCGGGTGACACCAGCCTGGCCGCGAAAATCATCTTTGCGGGCCTTCTTGGTAGCGGACAGCGCCAGGCAGGCAGCCTGTACGGCGAGAATACCGTTGTCGGCCTGTGCGCACCATAACTGGATTTCGGCGCGGCGC